ATACCGTATCATCACAAAAACTTCCAATTTTTCCCTCAACTTGTAATTTTAGCAAGTTGTTGATGTATACTGTAAACAATATAGGCCCAAGAACTGTTCCTTGTGGCACACCACAAGTCACAGTCCCAAGGTTGCTTTTTATTCCGTTCAAATTTACATATTGCTTCCTATTATTCAAGTAACTTTTTAGTAGGTTTAGAACACTGCCACGAAAGCCGCATTGCTCTAGTTTACTTTCTAGAATTTTGTGGGATACTGTGTCGAAGGCCTTTGTGAGATCAATGTAGACGCAGAGAGATGCTTTTTTATTATCGATGGCTTCATAGATGTCAGATGTTAACTTCAAAATCGCGTCTTCTGTAGATTTGTTGTCTCTGAAACCAAATTGTTTATCAGATATAATCTTGTTTTTTTCCAAAAATGCAACCATTCGTAACTTAATAACCTTTTCAAATATCTTTGCAATATTGGAGATTAAAGAAATTGGCCGGTAGTTATTTAGATTTTGTTTTGGACCTTGTTTGTATAACGGCTTAACCTCCCCTAGTTTTAAACAATTTGGGAAAGATCCTATCTGAAAGCTAAAGTTAATTAGATAAGAGATAACTGGCGCAATCTCTTTAGATATTTCCCTCAGTGTTTCAGATTTAATTCCGTCATATCCCGGTGCTTTTTTTGTTTTTAATTCTTTAACAATTTGGTGAATTTCATTATTTGTTGTTTCCTTGAAAAAATATAAACTTTTTGGTTCTCTTTCAACATTTTCTAAGTACCCTGGTGGGGTATTTATTTGTTTTGCAAGATTTTCTCCTATTTCAATGAAAAAGTCATTGAAATGGTTTACAATTTCAAATTCGTTAGTAATTTCTTGAGAATTTGCTAGTTGTATTTTTCCGATTTTTGTTTTCTGTTTAGTTTTATTACATATGGTATTTACAGATGTCCATATATCCTATATACATTGCGTAACCATCACAAATCTACTTCGAATGGAGAGATAAACTAACGGATGTAATAGCTATGGAAAAGGGACCTTCCTATATAGTCACCAATTTCTACATGATGGATTTTGAATAGCCGGCACTAGGGTCTGCCGAAAAAAAAAAACTATGGTTTGTCGTCATATGTGGAACACACCTTGGTTGTATGGAACCATGGGGAAGAGAGGCTGAAGAAAATCCTGATTTATTTTGACTCTATCGGATGGAGATGGTGGCAAGAGAAAAAAATACATTTCTAGATGTTCTTCTGGAAACTTCATATCCATCCTGGTCAAAAAGTATACAAAAATCCAATATTCACAACACATATCTTAACAAGATATTTTACCACCATTAGACAAAACGGAGTAGTTATGAAAGCTCTGGCCGGCGGACAACCCCGGATTAGTAAACCATGTTATCTTCAAGAAGAAATCTGTGATCAACATTAGATAGAAACGGTTATTTTCAATTCCTTGCTCTTTTGGAATAGTTTTTATTGGACCAACTGAATGCAGCATAAATACTTGGATCAAGGAATATAAACGTAGCTACCATACGGGCAAAAGGTTAAATCAGCAATCGCTAGACACCTACTAGCACAGAAGAACCAAAAAATTCTGTGGGACTGGATGCATCAACCAAACAATATTACACTACAATCCACAGAGCGACCAATGAAGCCCCAAAACAGTATCAATAGAAAAAGGCCAGCCATCGATTTCAGCAAAATATGGTCATCATTTCTACGAAAAACCAAGACCTTTCCGTCTCAAGAACCTAATGGAGGAGTCTTAGGTAGCAGCTATTCCCATTGCTTTGAGTAAAAAAGCCGCAGTGAAACCAACGTCGGATTCTTAAGTCTGGCATACTGTGGACATTAGAGTATTAGTATGGGCAAAGGCTAAACATTTTGTATCTATCTAGTCAAAATACCATATTATTGTAGTATAACATACCCAGGTTCGTCCAGCAAGATTGAACGGTGTGATTTTTTATTATCTTTCAAACAACAAATATTCTTAAAAACGAAATGAAAAACAAATAGGACCTACGTTGTGAAAACTCAATTTTACTTACTGGACATGCGCCCGACATAGCAAATATTAGGGTAATTTAAGGGAGGTTGTTATATGTAGAATAAACGAAAAATGTGTGAAACGTCTACTTTATTATTGAAGTAAATCGTACCGTTCACAACCTGGAATTCTCGAGGGGAAAAAGGACGGCAGAGAAACCCTCGATCGAACATTCCTCAAAAATCAAAACATACTGTGTTCTTTTTATGATAATTGGGAGTCATTTATCCAATAATGTTAAGTCAATGATAAAAGTTTAAATTAGGCATCATCCTTTGTCTTTCTGCTAAAATGTTAATTCCACAGACAACATTCAATCAACACTACTTAATAAGCCAGTTTCTCAGCAGGTACTGAGGTCCCATACTTGAAGCTACTCAGCTATAGTTGTTTTTGAGCCCATATCTCTAGATTGATTATTTCAATTTGTTTGCTTGAATATTCGCTCGTCAGGGTAAGAAAATGTTATTTAAAAATCCCAGTACAAAAGACAGCACATAATTTCTTCTAGGTTTTGATTTACTTTTTATCTGTGTTGTTTACAGCATGAAACGATTTTTGTTAATACATGAACAATGCACATGCTATAAAAATGTTATAAACAAACAAAAAACATAAAAAAAAAAGAATACGAACAATTGCAGACAAGCGTCTAAGGGTCAATCTTCTTCCCTAGTCTAGTCGCTTCTTCTCTTCTATCCTCTTCGATTTCGGTACTTTCGTTTTCTGTGGCGCGTCCCCCGTTCAACCCTAAACTTGACGGCGCATACAGGGTTGCAACATTTACTTTTATTCAATGAATTTTTTTTTAAATTAAGATTTGAAGAAATAATATTTTAAATAGGTGGTTTGTCTCAATATGGAATAAATGATGGATATAATATCCGTCGTTTTTAATGACACTTTTCGTATGAGGAGCGAAGGGGTGAAGCATTTAAATAGGTGTGACGTCAGGTGACCATTGGCGTTCTTACGTAGGGAGCTATCAGCTCACATTCCTTTGGAGTATCAGATTACAGTCGACGGACTGTACAGGGTGTCCAAGATTCGATGGTCTTGGGGGTTTCGGGTATTTCTGAAGGAGTTGGAAAAAATCTGACCCCCACTTGCGAGCCTCGATTTTCAAGAGAAATTGACTGGTGAAAATCGCATCTCGATATGTCGAGTCGTTTTTATGCTACGAGGGGTTTTTGCAAAGTTTGGAGTTTGGCAGTGGTGCTATAAAAAGTTATATAGATATATGAAAGTTTGGTCAACTTTTCCCCTTGTAGCTTAAAAGCGAATCGAGATATCGAGGTGCGGATTTCACCGGTCAACTTCTCTTGAAAATCGAGGCTCGCAAGTGGTACCCGAAACCCGCTAAAACCATCGAATCTTGGACACCCTGTACATATACGTATTTCAAAAAGCTATTATAGAAGATATTATGTAGAATCAGAAAATTTGAGATGTGCGCAGTATATAAAGAAAGAAGGAGAAGATGTGGTAACTACACCACAAGACATAACTTTATTTTTAAAGCAGTTGGTGTAGAGGATAGTTCTATTGACCTACCTTTCATCAGAGGAGAGCAGTTGTTTTTAACAATTCAATATATTTTTATTGTGGTAATTTTGTTGTTATTGGTATTTTCCCGCTTCGTTTCTCAATATGACGATTTATTGTACTAAGCAAGAAATCATTATGGGTACCTACTTATTTTTTTTTTTTTTATAAAACAAACTGTATTTATAATTCAAAATCGTTCTAGCTCATTTCGCCAAACTGAATATTCCTATACTTATTTATCTAAACTAGTTGACCGCAATAAATCAGCAATCACCTTAAATTGGGCGTAACATCCCTCTGCAGATTGAGTAATAATGCAGACCGGAGCATTTGTCGAATTTGTCCTCATCTGATAAGTGGACAATGGTCGTCTGTGTACACCGGCATTTACAGATAACGATGAGACCAGTGCCAGGCCAATATCTAAACACGTGGGGCGGTCAATGCGGTTGTAGATTGGCCGGCTTAGCGGATTTATGACCATTGTTACTCCTTGCTTGGGCTTGATAGTGGACAATTAAAAATTTCTTTACAACTATATTTCAAAACTAGTTTCTTATAATACAATTATGTTTTCATTATTCAAACTTCTTACAAGACCTAAGTAGAAGAAAACTTACCTACATTTGACATTAGATGCAGCTAAACTAAACTTGACGGCGTCAAGCTGACATGAAATTCGTAAGTTTTGATCTATAATATTCGCTCTTAGATGACTTTAAATTGAATCACGTGCGAGGTCCCCCAGTTCGACTTGTCCCAACTTCTAACAATAATCCATTTCGGTTATGATCATTAGGTTAGATAAACTTGTCTTACGACCTGACATGACGTGGGGATGATGGTTTTATCTTCGGTCCAAACTTATATATGCTGATAGCTTTTAGCTGGAAGTCTATTCTGACAGTGAAATTTTTCAATAAGAATGGTTTTTGTTTAGAGGCCCCTTATTAAAAATCTTAGTTATTAGTTTGCGTTATTTATAGCATCTCTTAGAAAGTTGCTTATACTGCGGAGGTGAAAATATGCAATTATGCAGGCTTGCAGCGGGTTAAATTACTGAATAAGACAGGGGCAATTTGTTTGAGCAAGCAACGTTCATTTATTTATGCAGACGAATTTATGGCTTTATTGCATTTCCCATTAAACATGGCGGTAAAGTCGGATTGCTAATTTGAATTCACCTAGAGTTGGCTTAATTTATTATATGTAGGTTCTACAGATCAAAATAGAAATCATTGAATATGAATATGAATCCAAATAAATATTTTTATTTCTACGAGTTTTTTGATTTCACTTTAAAATTATTTTATTTTTGTTACTAATTTGTGTCCTTTTATTGGATTAAATTTAAAATACGTACGATGTTAATTGTTCCCTTTTTGTTTCAGGTATGAAGCCCAGAATGAAAAATCACTTTCGAGCTCACCAACTAAGTGTATGGCTTCGACTAATTCCTGAATTACATAGAGCAGGCATGGAGGATGTCGTTGCTCGTCACAATCTTTTCCGAAACCATAACAATGCCGACCTGTATGACGGAGCTGTACGTCCAGACCCATTATCTAGGATAAGCTACTATGACCCCACCATGGAGCTAGTCAGGAAACGTCCAAACGCTACGTTAAGTGCTTTAGAGGTTCCTACAACGATGGATACGATAGTTACGACATGTGTCAATGTAATTCCTTCTGGAAATTACAATCCGCAAATATATCAAAGTCAAAATAATAATCAAACCGATACCCTGGCATCGCTTGAGGCTGCCGGTTATGCTGCTTATAGCACGGCTCTTAGCGTTACCATAGCCATAGGTTGCTCGTTATTGATTCTAAACGTCCTGATTTTCGCAGGAGTTTATTATCAAAGAGATAAAACACGAATGGAAGTGAAAAATTTGCAACAGCAACAAACACGCAACCAGCAAACATTCGAAACTATATCCAAACACCAACACTATCATTTAGGTCACTCGCAGAGTTCTAACATAATTGTAGATGTAGAACAAGACACTTCCGCCATGATAATGGCAGCAAATGCTCAACAAGACTATCATGCCATGAACAAAGTGCAACAGCATCTTTGTCCAACAAGTATTTCAAATACGATCAAAGCCCAATCTCCAAATTGTATGACTTTACCTAAAAACGCCTCGATGCAATCATATAATTACAACCAATCAGGCTGTATGACGTTGCCTAAAAACTCAGCGTTGCTGAACAATACGGCATGCGTTATTGCTGAAATGAAGCAGCAACATCACGGCTTTTCGCAGCCACCGAATGGCAACGTGCCCTTGCCACTTACAGTGCCCAAGCCTCCACCTCCTCCCAGGGCAAAAAGCCCGGAAAGCCAACCTTTGTTGAGTACAGGGTATGATAGCAGTGTAAAAGGGAATATGCGACTGCCACAAGCTGCTATGAGCGAAATGAGGGTGTGATAATATTCTAAGAAGGTTAGGGATGACTATGGATTTGATAATTTCAAGTTTTGAAGTTCATTAAAGTATATTTGTTTCAATGCTCATACCTTATATAGTTACTCAATTTCATTTAGAGATGCTAATGATGCCTAATTGACTTCTGATATACACCTTTAAAGGGGGTGTGACCCAAAAATGAAAGTTTTAGTGCAAAAAAATCTAAGAATAAATATTTAAATCGCATCTTGCTACGATGGTCCGTTTTCGAGTTAAGGCGGTTTAAAGTTACAATTAGTATTAACAAATGTAATAATGTAAGACAATTATCTTCTAGAGCGAAATGCAACCACTCAAAGTATAGGGTACGGTTCACTAACGACTAAACGAACAAAAGACTGCGATTTCGGCGGTTGTGACATCACAAGATCCTGCATAATTTATATTTGCAAGGAATTTTCTCGTAGACTATTTTGAATATAGGAATGCGGTTTTCACGAGAGATCTTAGAATTTTTTTCTTGATTTAAGTAGCTTAAGTCGTTTTTTAGGGTCACACCCCCTTTAAGTACCAGTCTAGTAAAAAAAGGAAATGGTTGAAAGTTTTATTTTGCTTTGTTTTTATCTGTTCCAAATATATTCAAAATTGGAAAATGGTCTCTGAACAAGCTCGGAGCCAGCCTTATTGGAGCTCCTTAGGTTCTCCGAAAACTGGATTTGAAATTGCCTTTGAGCTGTCCGATGACACAAAGCCAAGTCGATTGAATCTCTCTAATATACTACTTTAACACACCAAGCAATAAGTATTTTCCAGCTACAATTATGTTGAGCATTTTTTTTAATGGAAAAATGGTTGAATGCATCTGTCAAAATATTTATCAGTCAAAATCCAAGATGGCGGCTGAATTTTATATTTTTCATTACAAAATTTATAACTTTGTGTTTATAAGGTGTTGAAAACTACCACTAAGGGTCGCGGATTGCAATTTGTGACCGGTGCCTATTATAGTTGCGGACCATGGAAAGTGATACGACTGGTATTATTTGCAATAAAGACACTAACGGAACAGACAGTGCAGTGTTACAAACAAAAGGTGCAAGTGCTATCAACAGATGCAAACCAAACCAGAGGAAGTGATGTTGTAGCAGTTGAAGGCTGTAGAGTGCATATTGACTGTCGCAAAAGGTTTATTGACAAGAGGAAATGCAATGCAGAGTCAGATGTTGCAACTGCTTCAGGTCTTAAGAGGACCAGTCGCTTGACCACACAATATTATGTTCCTAAAATTCACTGCCTCTTTTGTGGAACAATTATTGTAGATTTCACTTATAAAAATGGTCCTCCACATCAACATCAAAAAGTTAGAACAACACATTTCGGTGGAACGTGCATTAGAGAACGGACATTTTCAATCAGTGGTCGCATACAATATTTCATAGCTGACCTTCACGCAGCTGATTTTGTGTACCATCAGTCATGAAGCAATTTCCGTACCGGGAGAAAAATGCCTGAACAATATTATATGCAAGAAATTTCTGGAAAGAAACCGAAATTAGGACGCCCAGAAAACGACCATCAGGTATCAGCTCTTTTGCAAACATGCAGCTATTTTCAAAGTTTCGACGAGGAGCAGCTAACGATATCAGATCTTATAAGCGTCATGGAGAAGTTTTTGGAGGGATCTGATGTGTCAGCCTATGACCGGAGATATATGAAGCGCAAACTAATTGAACACTTTGGACAAAGTATTAATATCTCTGGAAGTAAGGGCCTAACAGATAAAGTGACACTGAGTGGAAGTGCTGATGCATATCCTCAGACAGAAAAGATGAATCTGTCGATGTCGAGTTACAAAAGATCCTTATTCTAGAAGCAGCTGCGAAGATAATCAAAAGTGATAGTCTGCACATACAACTAGCAGTGACATATATCCTGAAAGTGAAAACCTTAACATTACTGAGGGTCTAAATTACTTGCCAAACTCACTCAGACTTCGGCTTTCAAAGACTGTTTTTGGTAAGGACATAAATCTGAAAATAGCCTAGCCTCAATTGGTCAGTGTATTATGCAGTGTGCTCGGCCCAGGTCAATATTAACACCTTTTCAAGTAAAACAACTCAAATGTTGTTATGGTAGGAGACAATGTTGATCATAGTTTATGCATACTATGTATGGAATGAAGACAGTTCATGTAATGGGCATGATTGCAGCAATTTCACCATATTCACAAACGTCAACTGCAGGTATCAGGCGAAAAATAAAAAATGCCGAGCTTCTCCAGTCAGGAAAGATCGACATAAAAGATTACAGAGCATCATCACATATTTTGAAAAGTGCAGTCTTTGTTAATCTACCTTTCATTGCACCAAAAAATTGTTTTTAGATCGTATTTGGCAAATGTTTGGGTATTTGAGACCATGTAGAGCACAATGGTCTGGTACGATGCAAGTTGTCTTCGGCAATGAAGATATCACTCACACCGGAGAGGCGGTGGTTAAATTTTTACCAATAATTGATTTCAATCCGAGTGACATGACGTGCATACTGCCTACTTTGAAATTCTTGTTTGATCTTGCTAATAAAAACGACATCCCAGGGGGGGTTTATTTGAAATGTGCAATTCAAATACGTCTGATTAAGTCGCAATTTTTGCCGGTACTTCAATGCTAAAAAATGCGACTTAGTCCGACGAATTTGAATTGCATATTTCAAATAAACCCCCCCCTATCATAATTTTCGATCAGCCATTGTTCCGGAAAGCTTCCATGATTAAACTGGAATATGATGAGCTCAAATCAATTGTCCTAAAATTGGGAAACTTTCGCTCAATTATGTATTTGGTGGGTGCAGTGTGCAGTAGGTACACTAATGGCATGTTCGTCTTTCCGAAGTTTTTGAAATGATATATGCAGGAAATGCAGTCCCTCATTTAATCAGTGGAAAGGTGTATTTGCGAGCAATTAGAGGATACCTTAGTTGATGCCGCATTACATACAAAGCTTATCGAATATTCATTTTCAAGTGATAAAGGCGAGATATCTGTTATCTTTGATCATTTACTCGAAACATATGACAATCTAATGGAAGGTAGTATACATGTGAAGGAATTAAAATCCAATGAATATCTAAAAGAAGTTTGTAATGTATTAGATTCAAAAAAGAGTGAGCTAAGATCTTTCTCATGAACTAGCCTTCTTTGGCTTGAATATCAATCTGCAGTAGCTACCATTCGTAAACCCCTAACTGCAGATCGTTTAGGATCATTTCCACATTTGAAGGTCTCACAGAAGCCCTGCTCATTTTTGCAGCAGCTGGGCATACTAATTATACAAAATCAGTTTACCTTGACTTACAGAACATGACTGAACTTCACAGCATGCATCCTGAAATCTCTGCAGTTTTCAATAAGGGTGGTCATGTGAAACGACGTACTGATAAAATATGGGGGGAATTGCCAGCAGATTTCGTAGTTGAGCAGTTTTTAATGAGGTCACTCAAGAGAAGTGGAGATTTCACCAGAGGTAGTGGTATGTCCGAAATACGAAAAATCACATGGATGTTGTCAATGCCTGTGTATTCGGCACACAATAACTCGATGCAAAAGCTAACAAACGTTGTATACGAGTCTGGTGAACAACATAAAGATTTAGCGCAATCTCGAATGAAACGAGACATGGAGAACTCAGATAAGATACTTGAGCTACTGAGATCGATTTCACCTTATTCAAACGACCCAACTTTGCAAAACATTGTAACTGGTGTCACAGCAGCTGAGCAAGTGAATGTTGATACATTTAAAACCACTGGTATGGACATTGTGAAAAAGATGAAGGGCCAGGAGGTGTTTTCGGAATGACTAGGCAAAAACAATTTCTTCTGTATCATTTATTAAGTTCAAGAACAAGGAGGCCACTGTTGACCCAGTCGAACAGTATTGTTGAAAGCAGAAAAGCCAAAGCTATCAAGGGCATTGATTGCGCATGATTCTTCAAATAATTCTCAGCCATTTGCAACAGCGGGAGAAGGTGAATCATGTTATGTGCTTGATGGAGGGTCCTTACTGCATCGCCTGCCATGGCGTAATGACAGTACATTCAGGGATATAACAAGATGTTACGCATCGTTTGTGTCAGCTAATTATGGGCAATCAACTGTTGTTTTTGATGGCTATACATCAGAGTACACAATAAAAGACACGACCCATAATCGCCGAACAAATAGATTCCCCTCCGTGAACTTCACACCAGATATGACATTCACAGGAAGTAAGGAAATGCTTCCTGCTAATAAGAAAAATAAACAGAAAGTAATTACTCTAATCGCTGAAGACATACGACAACATGGATATTCAGTAATTCATACAGTTGATGAAGCTGAAATTGACATTGGTAAAACTGCAGTGGAATCTTTAAAAATCAAAAATACAACAGTGATAGAAGAAGACACTAACCTATTGGTTTTGCTGATTTATTGGTGTAATCAAGCATACCACAAGCTGTTTTCCAGAAGTGATAAAAACCTACCAAACAGAATAACATATATGACATCAATGCCATTAGATATTCGCTCGGAAATGACTTAGCGAACAGTCTATTTTTTATACATTCATATACAGGATGTGACAGTACCTCCAGAATATTCCATATTGGAACCTAATTATAATTTTCAACAACACTTTCGTGAACTTGCACTACTATCGTTCAGCTCATGAAGAATTTGGAAAGAGGATAATGGTAGGTATGTTTTTTGGTGGAACTACAGATGATAAACTATATACACTTAGGTATAGAACTATTATTGATAAAGTATCGAAAGCAAAATGTTTCGTTCAGCCACATACCCTTCAGCCAACGGAATCAGCTGTCAAGTACCACAGCCTCCGTGCATATTTGCAAATTAGTATATGGAAACAAATAATGTAAGAAGGCTTGAAGCCAACAGATTGGGGATAGGGTACACATGATAATATGTATGTACCGAAAACAATGGATTTGCCACCAGCACCTGAAAGTATATTGAGC